AATGGCGCTGTACTTGACTGCAGCGATGCCAGATTTGAGCGCACCAATTTTTTACCGATAATAACTCATGCGAGGGATTTGGGTATTGGGCATTTTACAAGCCTATTAGGAAGTACACATATCTGTGTTCGTATAGAATAGTAGCTTATGTCGGAAGACTGGCTTTAGTATAATGAACCATTCGCAGCATACGATTGCGAAAGACTCACTGGCGCCGAGTCGTTGAAGAACTCTTGGAAAATAAACGTAAAAGACGGTAATGTTAATGGCGATGCTAGCAAGTCAATATTCGTATAAAGTTTCATTAAAAAATTTCTTGTGGCTTAAAGAATATAGGAAATGGTACATTTTACTAAAGCCAGCCTCCCGACATAAGCTACTATTTCATACGAACACAAATATATTCGTCTACAAATAATGTTGATTATTTTAATTAAGTCCTAAGATAAGTTTGTGAATCTTATCAGTGTTCTATGTAAGAACCAAAAATCAATACCCTCGCCAATTAGAACCTTTGCTTTAAAAGAAAAATTTACATAGAGCATTTACTCAGTACTTGGTCTGGCATCACTGTTTGAGCATTGATGTGCTCAGCTCACTGTTGCCAAGGTCGTGCATATTGCACTAAATTTAGTACTTTTGGGAAACCAAAAAGCCAAAATAAATGGAATTCAATGCTTGGTGCGTTATTTAGTCATGCTTTTTTAATTTAAGCACACCGAATGCATAGGTACATATGTATGTATGTATACACTATACACTAATATTCTACATTAAGATGGAATTCCTTTACTGAATAAAATGTGAGGAATAGGTAAATTAAATATGTTTTGTGTTGCTATAAATGTATTGAAATTAATTTATTAATAAAAACGTGAGGAAATGGATATGTATATACACTTTTTACTGAATCAAAAAAATTATTAAACATGACAATAAAAACTTGGCGCTTTTGTTTTGGAAAAATTGGCTTTTTCTGGTGGCCTGATGCCACACTGGCTCAGTTGTCGCAAAAGTGCACATACATACACGCATTTTTACTTGAAAATAAGTGTGTAGTAGTTAATATGTATACGTTGCCATCTCCGTACAGCTCACTTCACCCCGCCAAGCACACTCGCGTGCGCGCAGTTTGCCCGCGACGTCGACTGCGTGCACCTCTGCGGTGCATCCCTAGTGTAATGAATTAAAATCATTACAAATTGAATCATTAAATTCGATATATTTTAACAAAAGTACACGTAGAATACAATTTGATCAGTAAAGCTTAAATTTTTAAGTTGTTCATGGAATTAGTGAGTCCATTCTCGAGATCCCTTATAGTAAGTTGGCCACCAACACCAGATGTGCTGATTTTGATTTTTTTGCCATCTTCGTCAGTGAAACTGCGAGCAACCCCAGCAACCAATTCACAGATTTTGCGACGCAATTTCGGAGTAACTTCCTGCTGTACGGCTAGCAAAATTTGCTGCAACATTACAGCCAATGCGAATTATTATTGCCTCTAAAGCAATTAATCGCCCAGCTGTGGTATATTAAAGATTTTCGCTCGATGATCCCCAGATACTGTTGACAAGACGTTTTCATGTGGATTATAACACATTTCATAGATTTCCGCCATATATCCCTCGAGCGTAAATGTGCGTGCGCCAGAACGCGCTTCAAAAGCAATCACATTGCCATCCATTGTAGCTGCCATGAGCGTATGACCACTGAGCCACTTCAGCCGCGTTATGCCACCTTGAAATTCATTGGAATTGTCACCTTCTACAAAGGTGTGATCGCATAATGTGCGCAAATTATACTTTGCAAAATCCCAAATTGCTATTTGTCCTTGCAAAGTACCACTGGCTACTATTTTAAGGTCATTGGAAGGCGGAAATGCTAAATATTCTACTGAACCATCAGCCTCTACAGCACCCACCGGACCATTATTTGTGCAAAAAACAATTTTACCATCTGCCGCTCCGGCAGCGTAGAACGGCGAGTCCTTCTCACACGCCACCGACAATACAACTGTTTGATGCGCCATTGGATTTTGTGCATCTACTTCTGTCCAGGCGAGCCCCGCCGCACCTACTTGCAAAACATTTAACTTTCTTGAAATATCTATTTGAAATTGAAATTGTAATTTAAAATTGAAGTGTAAATCGAATATTACAAATGAATCCCCATTGTATGGTAACGCCGGTGTCAGCAGAAATTCAGCACCTTTGACAGTAGCTTACAGACTCAGCGCTGTATGTATAGGTGTGCAAATACATAAAAAACGAAAAAATCTGATTTTTCGTTTCCAATCGACAATTTTTTCGGAGCTGTAAAAACGTATTCTGAGCCCTTTTACGCGACTACCGGCGGTGCCTAATTTTAGCCAATTTTCCATTAAATCACATAAAACCCTTGTACGCATGAATTTAAAGTGTTATACGAATTGAAGCGTCCAATAAAGTTTATGTTTATGCATAAATCGTGAACTTGAACATTTTCGAGTCTTTATTGTCAAAACCAAAAGGTTCCGTGAATCGCTCGAGTGACGGTAGTTTCTATAGTGCGTTGCGTTATCTTTTAACTCTTCAAGAAGCCTCTATGTTCGTTAAGGGGCTATAAATAGCCTATTGACCAATCGTTAGCAGTTCTGCCATCCGTCGAGTGTACGCCCACGATCGACTCACCAGCGCCAACGAGACAACCGCCAACCTGCCAGCAGTTCTACCAGACATCTGCCGATCCGTCTGCAACCACCTCCGCCGCCTGCCAGTCTACGCAGTCAAACCGACGCCTGCATTCCATCGCCTGCCCGCATACCCCATAGCCATTGGCGCCTCCCAGGCCGTGTCGACCAATACGTCTAGAGCACCCATCTGAGGATAGCCCCTGCCTAAGCTACAGCCAAGGCGGCTGTAAATGGTCCTTCTCTCCGAGAATCAAAAACCAGCGACTTAAACCCTACATAAGTATCCACAAAAGCCGTAAGTAAAGATATTTTTCTTAATTTCCCTATATTGCGGCTACATACATATCTACATATATATATTTTATAAAAAATTTGGCGGGAAAATAGACTCAATAGTCAAGAAAAATTTAACGGCGAACGACAAAATTTTTTGCAATACTGCTTGTCGACGGTAGATTTCGGCAAAAGTTAACCTACCCGCTTTCGCGTAAACGACACACATACTTAGTGTGAACCATATATGCGATTATAAGTACATATGCACATAATCACATACACATATACATATGTATGTACATAAGAAAAAATAAAATCGTGTAAAACTCGAATTTGCTATTTCTCACATAATTGCACATTTATTGCAATAATATCCTTACATACTTGATACATACGCATATATTTAACGCGAAAACAGGGTGCTTTTGCACATTGCCTTGGCCCATCCAAGTACTTTCCCGTTCCAAGTTCGTTCGTTCCGCCAATGACACATATGTGCATTAAACTGCATCACCAAAAAAAGTTGCGGTTTTTCCGCCGGGATTACAAAATTTATTATATTTTAAGACGTCCACCAAAATATTTCGGAAAAATATTAAGATTTAAGCGAGCTGGACCGATTTGAGAATACCTCCAAAAATGAAGCTTTTTATGAATAAAAATTGTTTCTTAAAGAACTTTTTTAAAAAAGTACCCTCAGATGACAAATTAGATTAAGCTTAAAAAATCTGCATACAAATATTTAAAAATCCTTTCAACGGAATCGTAAGAATGAGATTTTTGATGCTGTTTTTTACTTTTTTCAAAGATTGGTTTACGAAAAACTTGAATAACTGGGACAACAATGTTCTGATTTAGACTTATGGGATCTCAGTAGAAAGGTATTTTGACACTGTGTTTATTTCTGGCCAAAAAAACGTCATTCGAGTCCCATCTTGTTTTTTCGAATACCAACACATCTTAATTTAACTTTGAATGACGTTCTTTCATCCTACCTTTCTCTTCCATCGTTTGAATGAGTTTATTAGCAAAGAGATAAAAAGGGTGAGAAAATACCTTTCCAATGATATCTCACAAGTCTAAATCGGGAGAGTTTAGGCTTAGTTATTCAAGTTTTTCTTATACCAGTCTTTGAAAAAAGTTAAAAACAGCATCAAAAATCTCATTATCACGATTCCGTTCAAATTTTTTTTTAAATTTTTAAAAAATATTTTTACGCAAATTTTTTAAGCTTAAACCGTTTTGTCATTTGAGGGGATTTTTTCAAAAAAAAATCTTTAAGAAACTATTTTTATTCATAAAAGACTCCATTTTTGGAGGTATTTTCAAATCGGTCCAGCTCACTTAAATTTTAATATTTTTCCGAAATATTTTGGTGGACGTTTTAAAATATAATAGATTTTATAATTCCAATGGAAAAATAGTACCGATTTTTTTTTGTATGGGGAGTGATGCAGTCTAATGTACATATATACATAGAAAACAATTTGAAAGCATACATATAGTGGGGCAAAACTCATCCCAGCGGGTAAAATTATATTTATTCTCGTTTTATTAATTTATTACATATGAATAACTATACAATAACTAATTGTGCCTACAGCGTGAGTACGCGCGTAAACACGAAATCTTAACACATTTAAATATTGCGATTTCTGATATTGTTAAAGACAAATAAGTTTGCTAACAGTGCGGACAGGTCGTGAATATACCCCCGATTCTTTCGCTTTTGATTCGCTTTAACCCGGCTATTGGAATTTATTGTGCATAATTTGTGTCCTATACATCACTCTTTTTTGATTTTTCGGTGTCTGTCCAAAAGCTCTGATCTTTGCATTTCAAACGTGATTTTAAATTCAAAACCGGCACATATTTGAAGTAATAACCTTCACACTGCCGTAAATTCTCATATGTTTGATGTTATTAGCAACCCACACCGAAGACAAGTTAAAAAGCCCCAAAATGAGTGATGACGAAAAAGGTCAAAGCGCTTCCACCGAATCACAACACGCGACGCGTTCAAGTGGAAAGTCCGCAAAAAAATCGAAACCTTCGGTCTCATCCACTAATTTCATAGAAGAGACTGATAATTTTATGGATTATTGCACACGATTTAGATCAACCCCACTAGAAGATAATTCTGAGTCTGCCCAAAATATTAAAAGTGCCAACTTAGACAATTTCTGGACACGAGTGCAAAATTCGTATGATGTAGTGCCAACGTAGACAGTAGAGACAGATGAGCATGACCTCCCTGAAGATTTTAAAACTTGTGCCTACAGCAAATACCGGTCATGCCTCATCACCTATGAGGACACCAAAGCGCAAATCGGTGACCAGCTCCACCTCCTCAAACAAATGAGCATTCCCATGCCTGCGCACTCTACGTCGCAACCCAAAGACGAATCTGACTTTGGCTTAAAAGTCCCTCCTTGTGATACTGAGGTCTTTTACGGGGGTTATGAACAATGGACGTCCTTCCGTGACATGTTCACGGCGGTCTACATAAACCACCCTAAACTCACAAAAGCGCAAAAATTGTACCACCTTAGGTACAAAACACAAGGTAAAGCCGGCCAGATCGTGAAACAATTCGCCCTTAGTGATGACAATTTCGAGCTGGCATGGGAAGC